TTGAACTTTTTATGCAATTTTTATGAATGTCCTAAATGACTTACTCTAAATGCAACTATATACAAATGCAATAAAAATAAAAATATAAGAATACCTCACCCCAAGCTTAAATTTTAGCATTGTCCTCAATGCTTAGGATGAGAGTAAGGAAGGATCATACCGGGATCAAGGTGGAGGAGGCCCACGAGGGGGGGTATGGAAGCAACACATGGGTTGTACAATGATGTGTGGATGGAGCTCTTGGCCACCTAAATACACATGGATGAAAGCTTGGTCGCGCAAAGGAAGCATATGCAATGACTCAAATTTTTCTTATGAAGTGATACATTTGTGCGGGCACCCTCGCAAACTTTGCGCGGGTGGTGGTTGGGTCGCGCAAATAAAGAATTAGCATCATTGGTCTCGCAAAGAAAGGGAAGGATTTGGTCTTGGCCGCGCAACAATCTGTGAGGGTGGAAGGCAGCCGCGCAATCAGTTGCGAGGGTGACAGTCGGCCGCGCAGAACTTGCGCGGGTGGGGGAGCCGGCCGCGCGAACTAATCAGATGCAACCCCATGTTGGGGTAATTTGGAACTCGGAACCTGCGCGGCTAGGGGACGGTAGCGCAAAGTTTGCACGGGCACCCGCGCAAGTTGCAGATTTTTGACACTTTTTGCATACTTTACCAAGATCATTGCTAAACCTCAATATGCTTATTTTTAACCAACTTCAAGCTTAGAAACACCAAAACTTCAAGCAAGATTATTTATTTACAATGCATTTATTTAACGTCTTTGCCAAGACATAGCCCCGCTTCCGTCAATCTTCATAAATCGGGATTTTCAATGTTACGTTGTCGAATTCTCCCGTGTCAAAGCCTTCATAAAATGGTTTCAAACATTTTCCATTCACTTTGAAGATTTGATTCGTTTCCAAACTCTTGATTTCAACCGCACCATGATCAAACACTTTTAAAACAATGAAAGGTCTGTGCCATCGAGATCGCAATTTTCCCGGGAATAACTTTAAACGCGAATGATAAAGAAGAACTTTTTGACCCGAAACAAAGTGCTTTTGGGTTATGTCCTTGTCATGAAACGCTTTTGTCTTCTCTTTGCACCTTTTAAACCTTTTAATTATATTCTTCTTGACCACTTCTATCATTGGAGGATTCAATCTTCTTTGAGCCTCTCTCCTAGGCTTGCAATAATCTTCCATAAGAATCTTGTGTGTGCATACATTAGGGCTTATCGCGTTTATTGGCTCAATCACATCAACCCGGTACAATGGAGAAATGTTGCTAGGGTACCTCATTGATTCAAAGATGTTGAAGTGAATGATCTCTCCATCAAACTCCATAGTAATTTTCCCTTTATGGACATCAATGATCGTGTGAGCGGTATTCATGAAAGGTCTTCCAAGGAGGATCATAGATGATGTGGAAGGAGTCTTCTCTTCAATATCAATGACATAAAAATCCGCGGGAAAAACAAGTTGATTAACTTGTACTAACACATCCTCCAACACTCCTCTTGGAGACACACTTGACTTGTCCGCTAATTGAATGATTACTCCGGTTTCTTCCAAAGGTCCAACATTGAGAGATTGAAAAACCGAATATGGCATCACATTGATCGAGGCTCCAAGATCTAACATGGCACTTTCGACATGCAAATCACCAATGGTACAAGGGATAGAAAATATTCTAGGATCCATGCATTTGGGAGGTAACTTCTTTTGGATAACCGCAGACACGTTTGCATTGACTTGAATCTTTTCATTCGCTTTGAATTTCCTCTTCTTGGTGCACAAATCCTTGAGGAATTTTGCATAACTTGGAATTTGCTTAATAGCATTCAATAGTGGAATGTTGATTTGGACCTTGCGGAAAGTTTCAAAGAATTCATTTTCTTCCTCTATCTTCTTGGAAAAGGCTAACCGGGAAGGGAAGGGTGGTGGTATGACCAATGGCTTGATAGGCTTGTTAGAATATTCGGGTTGCTCAATGTTTGGAACAACCGGTTCCTTTAGAGGAACTACCATTTTCGAAGGTTCAACAATAATAACTTCATCTTCGTCTTCTCTTGAAACTCTTTTAGAGTTGCTTTCTCCAAGTGTTTTCCCACTTCTCAAGGTTATTGCACTCACATTGGGATTCTTCTCAGTTTGAGATGGAAGTTTACCCCTTTGTTCCATCTTGTTGAGAGCGGTGGCCAAGTCTCCAATTTGTGCTTGAATGTTGGAGAAAGTGTTCTTGGTCTCTTGTTGAAATTGGGTTTGGCTTTGAGCAAGAGAAGTGACAAGTTCTTGAAGGCTCATTTGGTGGGCACCACTTGATTGGCCTTGTTGATGAGGTTGTTGGTAATTTGGAGGGAGGTGAGATGTTTGTGGATATGGAGGTTTTTGGGAAGGATATTGCGGATGTTGGGGTCTCATCAAAATGTTTGGTGGATTTTGCTTTGGTGGGTATGGATTGTTTGGGTTATTCCTCCAATTTGGGTTGAAATTGTTTTGAAATCCCATGGGTCTTGGTTGACCTTGATATCCTCCCATTGCATTCACATCTTCCAGTTCACTTCCAAGAGTGGGACACTTATCCCTATAATGCCCCGTCATGGCACAAATACCGCATACCATCAATTGTTGACCACTTCCCACCACCATTTGACTTAATACATTAGTCAAATCTAAGAGCTTTGATTCCAAGTGTTGAGTGTTGCTAACGTCACCAACCACTTGTGGAGAATTTCTCTTCATTTTATTTTGAGTCCAAAGTTCCTTTGATTTTGAGAAATGGTTCCAAAAAGTGATCTTATCTCTTGAGGGGTTTTGTTGAAGATGTCACCACCACTTGAAGCATCAATCATCCTTCGATCTTTTTCATTCATACCCTCATAAAATTGTTGAAGAAGTAGTTGTTCGGGAATGTTGTGTTGAGGACAACTTGTACACAAGTTGTTGAATCGCTCCCAAAAATCATGAAAGGTCTCATTCTCCCCTTGACGAATCCCCAAAATGTCACTTCTTTGGCTTGAAATTCGAGAGGTGAGATAGAACTTGCTATTGAAGGCTTTGAGTAACTCTTCCCAAGTGTGAATAGATCCCGGTGGTAAGTTGAATAACCACTCTCTAGCTTTATCTTCCAAGGTGAGCGGGAAGGCGGTTAGCTTGAAATCATCCAATGTCACGTGTTCGGGCAACATGCTAACACATATCATATGAAAGGACTTCAAATGCTTTTGAGGATCTTCTCTATCCAACCCATGGAATTTAGTAAGTTGATGTATGAAACTTGACTTCAATTCAATTCCTCGGCGGTTTGCGGGATAAACAATAGCAAGAGGTGTATGAGTAACATCCATCTCCATCATTTGTCTAAGTGTCAACTCTTGAGGGGGATCGGGTGGATTGGGGTTATTGGGATATTGTTGCATGTAATTGGGTGGTTGTTGGTAAGGTGTATAGGGGTATGGTTGGTGATTGTAGATTGGTGGTGGATAAGGTTGGTAGTTAGGATATTGGTTGTAGGGGGTTGTTGTTGGGAGTACATTGGGTTTTGGTACATTAAAGGGTGTTGGTAATTGGGTTGATTTGGGTAATGTACTTGTTGAACTTGAAAAACATTGTTTTGAGGTTGGTTGTTTTGGTGGAAGTGTTGGTTTTGTGGTTGTGGAGGTTGATAATTGGGTTGGTGTTGAGGAGGGGCTTGATTCCAAGGTGGCATATCAATGAGAGGTTCTTGTTGTTGTTGTCTTGGTTGTTGGGGTGGGGTATTGACATCTTGATTGTTTGGGTTGGGATTGTGAGGTGGAGTGTGATTCATGGCTATGTAGTTTTCAAACGGAATATCTTCAAAGGATTGACCAACAATTGGAGAATTCGGCTCGGTGTCGGTATCACTTGAAGTATGAACTTGATCTTCTATGTTGATTAGTGGAGATGAGGAAGAAGCTTGAACAAGTTGTTGTTGCTTTGCTTGTTTGGCTAACTTTTTCAACCTTTTTGCTTCTTTTTCAATTTCCGGATTGTAGAGTAGTTCACCGGTTCTTGTAGACCTAGGCATAAACAATCAAATAACAATAACCAATTTCCCCGGCAACGGCGCCAAAACTTGGTGGGATGTCAAGTTCACCAAGCAAATTACACCCTTTGTTTACAAATAAAACGTAATATAATGGTAAAAAGGGGTATCGATCCTCGGGGAAATGGTTGTATTCAATCACCAATGCAATCCAATAGAACTAGTGAAAATAAACTAACTAACTACAATTAAACTAAAAAGGGGGGTATTATGATTGCTTGAAAACTAAAAGACTTGAATAACTAAATACTTGCAGTTAAGCAAGAGAGTGAGATGCTCAAATATTAGAGAGAATTGGTAAACCAAGGCAATTCAACACAATGAACATTTGTGTGTTTATCATTAGGATTTAACATGAAGCTTATCATTCACCCCAAATTGGTTATAGCAATCATGAAGCATGATATGCCAAGATTTCTCATAGGTAGTATGGAGGTTGGGGAAGCCCACAACACACCTTCTTAATCAAAATCAAAGATCCAATTGAAGCAATTGAACCCAAGAAGTTGATTAGCCTTAAGAATGAAGAAATCCTCAATTCCTAGAGGATGTCAATGCTTACACATCCATAAAGGAGTTATGATTCATAAGCTAGAGATGATTTCTACCATCATAAAGCCCTTGTTCTAAGTAAATTCAATGATTCAATGCCAAACCAAAGAAATAAACCAACAATTGCTTATTAAAGTACCAAGCTCATGATCAAAGCACTAAAAAAAACATAGGAAATATGAACTAGAATCATAGACATAAGATAAATGATAAATAAGCATAAATCCTTCAAAAACCCACAAACATTCAGAGGTTTTAGCCAAGGTCTACCAAAATAGAGAGTTTAGCCACTCATGACAATAGAACAACAATCACAAAAGTCTAATTGCATAAAGAAACTACCAAATAACTTGGAAAGATGAAGAGAAATGAGTCTTGAGCTTCAAAATCGCCTTCTTCAGCTCTTCAATGGTGTAAAATCGAAGTATGGCTGCTAGATCTGATTCCCCAAGGTAATGGCAAGCCAAATGACCAAAATGTCCAAATTGGGCAGTTGCGCGGGTACCCGCGCGACGAAAATTCTACCCGCGCAAATGTTGTTGTAATGCTATTGGTCCTTCATTCCTCCACTCCACCCTTCCACTACCAAAGATTCCTTTGGTCCCCTCCATATCCATGTGATTTAAACCAACCAATCATCATTTAGCTACAAAAGTGGATGCTCCAAGCCCAAAAATAGAAGTTTATGACCCATCTTTACAAGTCTAAAATATCCAAGTCTTCAATTCTTTAAGGCCCAAGTCTTCTTTTATGGATCCGCCAAGCCCAATAGCGCCTCGAGAGCCCACAAGTCCGTCTTCACTCTAATCCACAATCGCGATAAGCTCCAAAACCCTGCAAAATTCCTCATGCAAAATAAAAAGTCCCCGATACGATCCATGATGAAGAAAATATAGAATATACAATGCAATACTAATAAAAAGAGCTAAAAATCTAAAATAAACTAATAAAAATAAGGAAATAAAATAAGCTATCACTTCTTCACAAATCCGGAACGAGTATTTTGAAAGAATAAGCATAATTGAATCACAAGTATTTTTACCCCTTCTTTTTTTATTTAACCATGAGGAATTACCTGAAGTACTTTCGCAAGAGCCACAAGTTCATCCCGATTTGCATTAGATTCCTACAAACATAATATATGTGCATGCAATTCGACAACATTATATGATAAATATAATAATATAAGTCCACTTATCATTAAAACATCACATATCGACTCCAAGTTTCTTTAGGAAATCAAAATTTGCCCTCACTACAACAAAAACGAATGCAATGAGCAAAATCTGACTACACAAACTTTGAAAAAATAAATAAGTAGCCAAAAAACAATTGATCTTACTTCTTCTATTTTCCATGGCTAAAGAATTCACACCATCTTCCTTGGGGTTCACCTACTACCGTAAAGCAACACTAAATTGCATCCAATCCTATGAAAATAATTATACAACCAATACTCATCATTTCATTTATCTATAAAACAATCATTTGCTTTAGGAAATGTATAATTTTTCAAGAAAGAGCCTTATATTCTTTCCAAAAATCTCCTCAGTGGGATTATACCATTTATATGCAAGTTGAATTTTACTTGTGGGTCCCTGCACAATGATATACCCATAAACCATGAATAACTTATGTCAAATTCCAGATTTCAAAGTTAAAATGAAGATTCTTTCTTACCTCGTAATTAATTTGGAAATACAAGGATAAAATTCCCCAACTCAATTAGCCGAATTTCCCAAACCACATTCACCATCAAGATTGGCAGGACATTTTGTGGAGCATCACAAATCAATAAACATGAAAATTAATATATTTAGTACTAATATTAATATACATTGAAATGAGTAACAAAGAGAAAAAAACGAAAACCTTAACAAAAGGGTAAATCAAATAGATTAACCAATTCGGAAGGCCATGCACATCCATTTAAGTAAAATAATCAAATCATCACCATTGTATGAGAGATTAAAGGTTAGTAACAAAATAAAACATTTATCAAATGAATGATGATTGCAACTGTTTGACTCAACCCCCAATTTCAAATCAAGTTAAGTAATAATGTACGATCAAAAGAAATATTAAAAATGTTTTTTTTTAATCTGATCATATACCGAAATTGGGATAAATTCTCAAAAACCCAAATTGAAAATTAAGTGTTATAACACTTTGACTGGATCTTGAAATCCTAAAAGTTGAATGACATTCAAAGCAAGTATCACGAAAAATAAGGGCCACTTACGGATTATAGATGAGAGATTACAGTCAAAGAGAACTTGGGGGAGGGGGTAATTGAATCCATGCCTCCATGGGAAGCTTACGATGGAGGGTTGCAGTCACTGTAGGGGAGGCGGCAATGGATGACTTTTATCGCCGGAGAGAAGGGTGGATGGACGGGAAAATTTTGGTGAAAAGGTATTTCGGGTGAAGAACCGAATGCTTGAGTCATATGAGATCAAGGTTTTGAAAACCGGAGGTCGATGGTTCAAGTGGTCCAACCGGACCGGTCTCAAAAACCGAAAAAATCGGATGATGTCATAATTATATTTAAGTATATAAAAAATTAAAAAAATAATTTTTTTTAAAAATTTCTGGTTTTGACCGGTTTAACCGGACCGGTTTTTACCGGTTCGACCGGTTTTTACCGGTTTACATGAATACCGGTTTTTTGACCTTTAAGAACCGGAGCCGGGACCGGTTCCCGGTTGAACCGGTCGAACCGGCCGGTCCGGTCCGGTTTTCAAAACATGGTATGAGATTACAAGGAAATTCCTAAAACAATTAATTATTTACCATAATTAAATATAGATAAAGTTACTATTATATCCCTCTAAAATGATTGGTCCAGGATTGGTTATACATTCACACAATATTTATCATTTATATATGAGCCTAACTATATATATATATATATATATATATATATATATATATATATATATATATATATATATATATATATATATAGAGTTAGGTTCATTTGTTTAAACTAATTATTGTGTTATTGTACGCATTAATGTGGGCCAATCTAAATAAAAAATTAAATAATTAAATAAATAAATAAGGGTAATTTAGTAATTTGTTTAGTAACTTCCAAAATTAATCCCTATAATCATGGTATTGACCTAATCTCTCCAATTTAAATCTCGTTCCACTCTTTATCTAAAAACCAAATCTTGGCCGATCTGCAAAATTAGAATGGACTACAAAATCGATCTTAAGTTCTACAAAAATCGATTGTCATCGCCATCTCCAACTCCAGCAGGTCACCGACTCCACCAGTGCCCCCTACCCCCCACCATCATCGTTTTATCGAAGAGCCCCACGCCTCCACCCCTATGTGGCTTCAGCGACTCCCGTTCTACGTTTTTTGCTTCTGGTTTGTGTATCGTCCTTTTGACCGATCGGGCATAGGGGAAAGAATGGGACGAAAGTTGTGGGAGATCGATGACATAAATTGAGGGGCACCGGCCGACCGACTATCACCGGCGTTTTCTTTCTTTTCTTTCTTGCCCGATCAGCAGCCACACGAATGGGGAAGGCAAAGAAGATCGCTGATCTCCAAGGGGGTGTTTTAGGTGGTTTAATCGACTGAATCAGATGGAGAGGAGGGTGAACCGAGGGCAGCAAGGGTTGATTAGCAACTCTCCGCTTCCTCTCTTCTGATTCTAACAACGAGGGGTGAGACCAGAAGAGGGTCCGACGACAGGTGGGACTTCGGTGACATTGGCTCAACGGAAGAATACGCCGTTGAAGCTCTCGACAAACGGCTTTGTCTATTCCGCCTGAAGGTTCAGGTTTCTTTATATTCTTCTACTTCTTCAGACATGGTTTGTCTCCCTTTGTTTATAAGTACCTTCTGTTTTCCTATTTGATTTTGTTGATTCAAGTTAGTTCAGTCGTAATTATATGATGTTAGTGTTTCGAGATGTCGTTCCCGTTTGTCTGTATTATATTTATGTCTAATGCACTGCTTTTCGTTGGGGATTCAATTGAATTTTCGGAATTAGGGTTTTCAGAAATTTGGATTGACAGAATTTCTTCTGGAATTAGATAATGTGGATTTGTTAAAGCAATTAGATAAGTACATATTGTCTTTCATTTAGTCCTTCTGCAATCGTTATTGAGGATTAGATATGAGGACTATAGTTAGATTAAAATTATGTATAGATCTATCTCAGGTATGCTATTAGATACGTACCTCGAACAAGTACATCTTATGAATGAATTAGAACAAACAATTAAGTAAAATTAAAACCTTGTTGCTTTTGAATGGAATAAAGTGCAGGGAAGGACAGAGGAATAAAGTGAGAGAGAGTTTCTTTCTCCAGAAAAGAGAAGGAAGAACAGGGAAGGCTTTGGTTGCTTCATTTGGCAGAAAAGAGAAGGAAGAACAATGGTGATGATCTCTTCTTTGATTGGGTATGTTTCTTTTGATTGGGTTTTACTAGTTAAATAGATAAAAAAAAATCAAGTATCTTGATGATCTTATTGTATAGTTGTGAATTTTGATAGATATGGAGTACATTGTGATCTAAGGAAAAGAAAACATAAACGTGTGGTACAATTCTTGAGATTGACATGAAGAAGATAAAAAGAATCATGAATTCCAATTCTGTTGGATTGGAATCATGATTTCCAATTCTGTTGGAATGGAATCATGAATTCCAATTCTGTTGGAATCTAAACTACAATTTGGTTTTGTTTTGACAGAAGTTGATGTTTGAAGAACGGACCGCAAATTTGAAAGTGATTCTAAGCATTCTCAGAGAATATTATTCTTACATGATTTGATTCATGGCAGTTATTTTCGTTAAATGTATAATTTCATGGATGATCAAGGAAAGAGTTATTCTTCTGATAGAATAATCTACAATAGAATGATAGGAGTATATGTAATAATATATTCTGCTAGAATATTAAGGTCGAATAATATACATAATTTTATTTGTTATTAGTGAGTATTTCATTGTCATAGACTATTATATAAAGTTTTTACTTTTTTAAGAATGTAATGAAAAATTTGAAGTTGTATCCAAAAATGTGTTATTAGTCGGTGTTGGCATTCTCATAGAATATCATTCTAATAGAAATATGTATCCTGAAATTTGTAGAGAATCTGATTCTAACAGAATAAAATCGGGTTTAGTTATAAAAATTACGTTATAATTAAAATTAAAGTAATTAAAAAAATTAGAATTTTAAAATCAAGAGAGTTAATTATCCCCAAAAATATGGAATTTACCTTTTTTAAATTTACCTCAATTGTCTAAAATACCCTTAGAATGAAATTAGATGGAATTTTTCAATTATCTTTAATTTAATAATATATATTAATCACTTTCTTAAATTAAGTAAAATATTGGCCCACATTTATGTATACAATAACACAATAATTAGTTTAAATAGAATAACCTAAGCCTATATATATATATATATATATATATATATATATATATATATATATATATATATATATATATAGACGCCTCCCAAAACGAAAACCACAAATCAGTGAAATATAACAGCCATGTACAAATCAGTGAAATATAACAGCCATGTACAAATCAGTGAAATATAACGCCTCCCAAAACGAAAACCAATAAATCAGATGGTACAAATTAAGTTTAAAAAACAGCCATGTATAGTTATTCATATTAGATGTTTGTCCCGCCGTTGAGTAAAAAAGAAACAAACCTCTAAGAAAACATAACATGGAAACAACTTATTATTCAATAGTAGTGAAATATAACAAATTCAAAAATATAATTTGCTTCCCACGTGACAAAATGTTACGAGAACTAAAAGGTAAGGGGAAAAATGCAAGTCCAGAAACAAGAACAGGACAATGTTAAGAACAAAATCCATTAAAAAAAAAAGCTATATCAATAAACTTCCTCAAAATTCAAAATACACATTGTATGTGCAAAGGGTGTGTTCACTTTCTTGGGAGATGAGGTTTTATCGACTCCACAACTACCTGTTTTTCACAAAGAACATAATATCAGGATTTCTTCATTAAGTTCTACCTTTTTACTAATTTTTCCTTTCCAATAAGTGTGCTATCAATTTCTTAAACATCTTTTATCCATATATAGTTTCGATGTAAAGCACATGAAAAGTAGTGAAGTTTGACTGTTTGACTAAAATAGAACAATGAGTAGATGTCTTACCCTTCCATCATAAGATAACGATGCAAATATCCAAGGCTCCCGAGAACTCCATGACAAGCCTGTGTTTTTAAGAAATGTTATCAAGTTAATGCAGAAAGAAAGAACGACTTAATAAATAGATTAATCCCTAACTTTTTACAAATTTACCCTCAACTATTTTTTATTCTTCCAATTTCTCAACTGTGCTGGTTATTTTCTCAAATATTCATCAAACATAATTTATCCATGGAGAAAAAAAAAACACATTATCAAATTACCATAAACACTGTCCTCATAGTCATTGTATGTATGGAGCAAAGACTCCGTCCATTTAGTAGTGGAGTTAGACAAGCTGTGAAAATAAAAATAAAATGGTAAGGGGGACAAGGGCATATACGTACTTTTCAACTGTATTCATTCAACACAAAATGACAAAATATAATAAGAAAAAAAAAAAGAGACCTATCAGATGTCAATTCATCGTTGCTAGCAGGAGCAGCAAACCACAAGTTAACAGCCGAGTCTGTTCCTGCACTCTGCATATATACAATGTATGTCCAATTATAGCATCATACTTTCAATTTACTTATTTAAATTACATTTGCTATAATAACTGTGTACATTTTTCAAAGCACAATTTTGTAATAAGAAAAAAATGCTATAATAAACAAATAATTCAAAGTACGTTGCTATTTCTTGAATTTAAATAAGTGTGAATGTATAGAGAGAGAGAGAGAGAGAGAGAGAGTACAAGAATGACTCCTTCATACTCAGGATTACTTCTAACAGCCCAAGTCCTGCATAAAAAGAACAAAAAGATAGGAGTCAAATGAAAAAGTTAGGTAATCAGATTACCAAAAATGATAATTTATTTATTTTTATATCAATAATTAACAAAATATAATATTACCAGTGTGAATGTCCAGGGAGCTCTGCAACAGGAGCCTTTGACATTCTAAGATCCCATATATGAATACCAGATTCATCTGCAGCTGTTACCTGTATTTTATGTTACAATATTTAATTACCATAATATAATAGTATTTTTTAAGCTAATGCACAAGCATTAGTTACATATGATGAACTTGAATCGAAGAACTTACAAGCATATGTTTGTTCTTGCTATCATAGTCTATATTACGAACATGGGAATACTCAATTGAATTTGTTTTCCTGTAAATCAATAAATACATGTTATTAGTACTTCAAACTTCCCAAAATCCATAATGAAATCTAACAGCAAGTTGCACAATAAACTCAATTTTCATTCAAATGAGAAATTGTTGAAGAAACAAGATCTTTTTTTCTGCATAACTAAAATGAGGCAAGAAATGTTGACCAAAGTCAGAGCATACTTCATAGTCCGTAAGTCCCAAAACTGGATAGATGATTCAGAAGTTGATGCAACAACATTTACATCATGTGGGTCCCATGCTCCACCTGACATATGATGAAGCATCCCAGCAGACTCCTGAGATTGTACCTACATATTTCATGTACAAGAAACTTTCTTAAATACTATAAAGTGTTATATTGTAGCTGTCAGATTTTCACATTTTGATTAGTCTAAAGAATCTTGCTCTCTTATACCTGTGCACTCTTCTTGGAAGAATCTAAGCTCCAAAGAAAGATATTCTGCTCATCAATACTGATCAACTTATCATGTCTTCCAGATGGCCACCATAGCACACTGACATTATAAGAATGATCATAAATAAGTCATTACTACATATAATGATGCAAATTGCAAATACAAGAAAGAAAATCAATGGGCCTTTAGAAAGAAAGAAAACATAACTCACCACTTAATTTTTGAGCTGTGTGCATCAAGGGAAGCAATACATTCCAACTGAGGAGAATTTGACTGGCCATACAATTCAGGTATCTGCCACACAGCCGCTTCATATGATTCACCTTCAACAGCAAGATATTAACAGGAAACTTTATACAACACTGAACTCAAATGAGCTACTTTTTCTAAACAAAAATGTAAGTCAAAATTGCAATCATGGCTTAAAATTGGCAGACCTCAAAATTCCAGATTCATAATGCATTTCCCTACCTTGACCAAACTAGAATCATATCCGTTACCAGTATCTTTGATCAACAAATCCTATTAGAGCTACTTCTCTAGTGAAACAGATGAATTCTTCTGGATTTTTATCTAGATCTCACTCTTAGCTTAGCTTAACCAAGTCATTTACTTCTTATAACCACGAACATCACAATCATAATCACAATTAAGCAGATAACAGATTAAATACCAGAAGAGAAGACGGTAGAGAAGATTCGTTGATCAAAAGGGCAAGAAGCAAGGTCCCATATCTCATTCGGATGGGAAAACAAGCCCTCGCAAACAAGTTCCGTACCACCTGATGAAAGCCTAATCAGATGCACCTGAAACAAACAAAGATGAAGAAGTTCAATACGACCAAAATCAAAACTTCACATATAGAACATTAACGCAAATCAGAGATCAAATAAACAACTCAAAACCTCATTTTCTTCTTTGAGACTGAGAGTGCCGGTGAGGAAACTGGTGTGATCTGTATCGGCTTTCACATCCGCTATACATCTTGCCTGTCAACAAAAGTCAGAAATCGAGTAAATGCCGATGTAATGAGTGAGAATTTGGAGGACAACTGTGGTGAAATGCAGATCGATTGAAGGGGAATTTTGGGAGGTTTTGGGTGTGTGAATGGGGTTTGTGTGATCGATTTTCACCTGATATTTGAGACCGTAACCAATTCCAGTTGATCCTCCTTGCATTTGAGTAAGGATTTCTTGCTTTTTCGTCAATCAGCTGATGAAGATCTTTAGGGCTCTTTCTACAGTTAAAACTTGCACCTTACAAACGACTTCGGACATAATTTAATATTTAAATGGTTTCTTTCAATACAAAAAATGGTCATGTTTTTTAGTTTTATAGCATAGTTTTATCATTTATGTTATGTCTACCCTCACAATCACAATTGATCATAAATAGTATTTGTTTTTTTCACACACACACAAAAATACAGCAATTTACAAGGAAAATACTCACAAATGTAAACTGATTTGACATGACTATACCGATAATTTTGAAACTTATAAATGTCTCAATACACTATTGTACAGGGATAAGCATCTGGGGAGCTGAATATAGGACCGAGAGCCAGATAGGTTAAGGGGGTATTGGTTCCGGAACCGGTTTTTGGATGCTAGATTTGGGAACCAAAAACTAAAAAAATGGATATCTGGAAACCGATAACCGTCTTTATAATATGTAATTTTGGTCCACTCCAGACCGATTCGGTTTTGGAAACCGATAACCGTCTTTATAATATGTAATTTTGGTCCACTCCAGACCGATTCGGTTTTTTCTGATCTGATTCGGTTACATCAGGTTAAATGTTCATCCCTACTACTGTATGGCTTTCACCGATTTTTCATCCACTCGTCCAATATTATTACTTGATGAAATATAGCTCAAATTAAGGAGTGTATGGATAAATTAGTTGATAGCTTATTAGTTTATTGTTTATTAGCTTATTAAAATAAGCAATAAGCAAAGAGAGAGATGTTTATTAAAAGCAGCTTATTTAACTTATCCCTACCACAATAAACTGATTTTTAAAGATTTTTATCCAAACAATTAAACTTAGCTTATTATGGTGAAAATAAACAATAAGCACTCTTTTTTCCCTATCCAAACACCCTCTTAACTTAATTTTACATAATTAAATCAACATTGTCACGATTAACTCAAACAAACTTATCATATAATATACTTCAACCCACAAAATAAAAACACAGCCAACGAACATTTTACAAGGAAAATACTCACAAAATGCAAAAACGAAAATCTGTCTACTTTCATACATTCCTACATTGCCATCAAATATACCACAAACACCAAAAAAAAATACAATAAAAGATATTTAAAAAAGTCTACCAACACGTTTCTACAAAGTTACCCTCAAAAAACCTAAAGTAAACCAAAGCCAAAACCTTCAAACAATACCCTTTTAGTCAGGGACCAAACCGCTGTATTCCTTGTCTTCTGTCAACTCTAATTAACCTAAGTCCCCGGTGAGCATTAACCTTCTGTACAGTCCAGGGTTTAGGGTTCATGGTTTTTTCTTGGGTAAAAGGATAATAACCCGGTAATATTATTAATGAAACAACAAATATTATAGAGAAGAATTCAGGATTGGGTGTGGATGCTTGTACCATGTGCTTCATGACTTGTACTTTTAATACCTATTCCACACATGGAGATGAAACGAAACTTAAAAGTTAAAACCAGGATTATTTAATCCGAAAGCAACTCTTCAAGTTCGGGTAATTCAGATATCAAAGGATCATCATCGAGACTTGTATCGTTGACTAAATGTTGAAACTGAGGGCCGATGAGATCATCATCTTCATCTTGATCCTGATCTAACGGTTCAGATTCGTTTTCGGTATCTTGATCGGGGACTAATGATTCATCGGTGGGGTCGATGAGATTGTTTTTACCGAATTTTCGAGGGAGTGATTCGAGTTTTGATTTGGCTTCGGGGTCTTCGCATATACAAGTGGCGGGGTTTTCATGGAATTCACCTCGCCCGGGTCTTACTTCTTTTGGCTCACCCATGAAACCTCTTTGATGTGTTCGTACGCGTGATGAGAATTCTTCCCATGTTGTGTTCTCTCTGTTTAGGAATAGACGGTAGAGTTTTTTAGCGTTTGGCCGGATTGTTGGTTTGTGTCCAAAGTATCTCCTATTATATAAAAAAACAGTTAGTGTCACTGTTTAAAGCTATGTTTGGCAGACAAACTGAAAAGCTAGCTGCCAGCAGATAAAACGACGTTTAGTAAAACTAGCCAATGGGAAATGTAAAACGACATAAAAATTATAAGTTTTTGTCCAACTCAACAAGGTGGGATGGAAACACGCTCTCGATATCTTGTATGTGCAAAAGACGTAAATGCCCTTCTCATCCTCATCATAAAAAATAGTCATGTGAAGCTCGTCTTGTCCCGTTCAATCTAGTCGTGTCCCGTGTAACAAAAGCAGCCAAAGGCTGCGTTTGTTACATAGGATAGAACTATACGGGACTGGACAAACTTTACAGGGCTATTTTTGATGATGGGGATGAGGAGGGCATTTACGTCTTTTGCACATACAAGATATCAAGAGCGTGTTTCCATCCCACCTTGTTGGGTAGGACAAAAAATTATAATTTTATCAGTCCCAGTCCCAGTGTCCCAGACTCCCAGTCCCAGTCCCAGTCTAATGCATGCCAAATACAGTACAAACTTTTGTTCTATACTGACAAAATTACAATGGTTGAGGTTGAATCAATAAATTAATGACAAAATATATTTTATTTTGATATAATAAAAATAAAAATACCTTCGTCCGGCTAAAATCTTTGCCATATTTCCGTTGTTATTGGTAACGAAAACATCACTTTCATCGCAGACAATGAAATCAAGTGCAGCCATACGAGAAGAGAAGGCGGAAAAGGGTTCCAGTTCTTCTTTAGGGGCAATTGTGTCTTTTGAATGAATGTTGGGGAAGAGTGCTCTCAAAGGAGCCAATGTGTCATCTCCACCATATACTTCACCTGAAGCCACATAAAGATGAACATCTTTGCTATATCCAAGTGCTCTCAGCATTAGACCTACTTCTTCAGGTGTAAGTGGACACCTCCCTTGTCTCCTTTCTTTGTCCGGATTGTTGCTCTGTGATTATTATCAAAAATAGCAATGTACTTTATTATAGCATCCTACTTTCATTTTCCAAATACAAAACAATTTCATTGCTATAATTGGGTAGATTTTGAAAAGTACAATGTCAAGTACAAAATTGTGAGAAAGAAATTAGACATTTGTTTCACTTTAAGTTGAGGTGAAAATTATCTATGTTAAATTTATGGTTATGAGGCTAGTTTGGACATACATGATTATAAGTAAGGATGAGGATTAAGTGCTTACATGTAAAGTTTTCCACCTTTTTCGTATTTTACCGAGTTCTTTTCTTTCCTTCTCTCCACCACCATAATAGCATCCTGAAAATGCAAGCATATCAGGTTCAAACCTGTATTTTAAAATAGTCAAAGTTGTAGTTAGCACAAAGAATGCAACTTTTCAAATCACTCACAAAATAAATGGTAAAAGTTGTAGTTAGCAACTTAGCAATGCACTTACACTTATTCGTTTATTATAGTATCCTACTTTCATTTCTTACAATTACAGCATTGTACATTCATTTTTATTCTTATTAATGCATTGCACATTGAAAAATATACCCACATATAGCCTTATAACTTTAAACTTTATCTTATTATGACATTGTACTTTGAAAAAACAATCCAATTATAGAGGTGAATATTGCTTTGTATTTGGCTGATATTGCTATAATTAGGTGGACTTTTCAAACTACAATGCTTTAATAAACAAATCAATAAAAGTAATTTGTTGTTTCTTGCAATGAACCCTAGAATAAAATCATCTAGATAAGGGATTGGGAATGAAAATCATAATGACACTAAACTATTTGCTTAAGTGCATACCTCAGGTGTAAAGCAACATAGTGCTTGCCCATCTTCCTCATTTGGTTGACCAACTTTTGACCCATTTTATTTATAGGATCAGTGAACCTCAAAGCATGATAATTTACTCTACATCTAAGCTTTTGCAAATCAGTCTCCAACTTGTTAGAAAGTCTGTAATCAAATTTGCTCAGCTGAACAGCCTGCCCAAAAAAAGAAATCATAAATATATTTAAACTTTAAAAATCATTAACAGCCAGCCCAAGCTTTCTAGAGCTTTTGTCAGTGACTGAGGGCATTCACGTCTTTTGCACACAAAGTAGTGAAGAACACTAATGATGGCATCAAACAACCCCAAAAGAGAAGTTACATTACATTGTCATCAGAACTAATGCAAGACACTACATGCTTATAAAATACACAATGCAGAATTTAAGATGATATAACTTACATGTTTCTTCAAAAGCACAGGGAGTACACGAATCTGATAGCATCTCTCGTTACACTTTCTAGGCACACGCATATTATAAGGAGTCCAAATCTTGCCTCCTTTCTTTTGGAAGTTCTTTTATCACTTTCACATCTCTTGATAGATGTGATATAAACCACTCAACATCAAAGATCTCTGAAAAAGTACTGTAAAAGAAAAGGGTATTATGAGTTATATCAAACTTTCAGGCCAAATTTTTATTATGAACCCATTCATGTATATAGTATGTATGTGCAATCATTTCTCTGTGACTAACCTAGCATCCTTCCAAAAAGACTTCTGGTCTAGTTTTGGAACAACAAGAGTAGCATTCAGAATACGTGCAGCAACAACAGCATCTGTAATCTGTGAAAATAGGTACCATTTATAGTTGAGAAATTATAAGAAAAAAGATTCTATGGTGCATAAAAACAAAAATAAGTAAACGTACAAATTTAAGTTTAGTAAAGAGATAATGGGTTACCCCAGTTCGTTGTTGGTTTAAACCCCCACTTGTGGCTATCAATAGGTATCGATTAGGATATGTGACTGTTTCCACTTCTGTGATTCAGTAAAACATCCAGATCAAACATACATTTCTGGAAAACTCCAAAAACTCCTGTATTACTATTTACTCAGATTATTCCATTTGTCACTTACTTGGAAACTTATTGCTGGCATTACTACATCCAAAATAAAATTTCGACATCCTTGTATTCCATAAACTTCGATCATTTCCCATCCCACCACTGATCTAGATCCCAAATCATGAAAAAGTTGCATCCAAATTAGTTAATATGACAAAAGCCAGATCCAATCACGATTCCAAAATCACACTACAACAATCCAAACTTCCAATTTGAACAACGACAAAATTAACTTCTTTGGCAAACAAAAATAAAAAAAAAAAACTAACCGGAACTTTGAAGAGTGAATGAACTAGAAGTGAGTCATCATCGGACTGAAAAAAAAAATCATCACTGTAAACTTAACAATTGGTGAAATGAACGTGTTCTTTTATCCATACATAAACGAATACAAGTAGCAGCGAGTGTAATATTTAGAAATCAATTACCGTCTTCCGCCGTACAAGATGGTGGGGATGGTCAGGGGAAGGTGCAAGCAGGGAGATGAAACCGTACAGGATGAGAATAGCAGCGGAAATTACAGAAATAGCCGGAATAAGGTAACGGAACCGGTTATGAGTGTTGTGGTGGTGGTGGCGCCGACGGTGGATAGCCATCGCCGTGGTGGTTTCTCTCTCTAAAAACAACTCCGTTTTAGAGAGAGAAAGTAAATGAAAAGGGAGGGAACACGATCTATCTACTACTGTCAGGATTTATGATTAATTTTGGGGAGGTTTATTCGTTTTGGGCCTTGAAGACGAAGAGAAGAAGCCATTTTTAGAAGTGCCTATTTTTCTGTAGTTGGACTTTTCGAGTAGGGATTTTTTGCTTTTGCTTTCAATATGAGAAATTAAATATTTAATTTCTCTTTCAATATATCTAACTTTATATATGTACAGAGAGAAAACTTATTTTTATATATATAAAAAATAAATAAAATCATTTCCACGAAAAGCATTATATTTTTAATCAGTTATAGGAAAACCCAGTGTTTAATAAATCCTTCGTATTTCTAAAAGCTTTTAGACAATCAATAAATATTTAAATGAAAACTTTTCAATAAAATATTATTTTTTACATGTAGTAATTTGTGATTATGAAACAGTGTTTGTTAAGGTAAGGATGAAAATGGTTTGATTTTTTATTAAGAACACATTAAAATAAAATAAAAAAATTGATTTTTGACATATAAAATCATCAGGTTTTTGTTTCGGCATCTTGTTTTGTGTTTTCTTTTTATTTAGATTTTATTGATTTTTTTATGAAAAAATGTTGCTAAAATTTAATAAAAAACAAAAAACTACTTAATTTCTTAAAACATAATACAAACCAAGTCAAGACATGTTTATTATTTTAATTTAAAAAAAAACATATCAAGTAATATCTATGAAATTAATTTGTGTTTAGTAATATCTTCGAAAATTGCATAACCAATACAGTTTCTTCACAAGCAGGATAGAACTATAGAAAGCATAAATTTTGGTTACCGAAGATGAAATTGAGCTTTAACAGCCTCGAGGGGAGAAAAGCACAGAGACTCAATTGATTATCAATATTTTCTGAACGTGATTGTTGAAGGGTTATTTTAATCTGGGATTGGATCTGCTCTCGGTTCTTCATTCATTTAGATAGTCAATATTTCTATCATCAAGTTTGATGATCGGTTAAATTCTCAAGCCTTATTGGTGCAAATCAAAACTCCTTTTTTTATGTCCGTCAGATATTCGATAAAATGTCTAAATGAGTTTTTCAAGTGTTGAAGCCATTTTAAGACTCAAGAAGGTGTAGAGTCTCTTCCCCGGTGTGGTTTTACATTGTGCACTCCAACCTTTTGTTGGAGTGTCACATTTTACTTTGTGTAACATACATAAAAATCATGCCAAATTTAAATTTTTTAAAATAGTTCAAAACCAATAATTATTACTGTTGAGATAATCGAGTTGTAGATCGATAGATTCAAACAGAAAAACAGTATTTAACAATGCAAAGAACACAAGAATTGATCAATGATGTCGAATGATTAATCAATCACACCTCAGAAGAGATCGATGAAGAACTTCGACTGTAGAGGTGTGTTAGGGTTACAATGCACGATAATAATAATAATTACGACTGCTATCACAGCTATATATGCATGCAATATTTATACTAACCCTAATACTTATCCACGGTTGGACAGGCCCAAACCGGGTAAACTATACATGGACTTAGAACCGAGCCCAAGACGCAACATCAAGACCCAACAATCTCCCCCTTTGTGTCAATTGAGGCGAGAGACTACTTCGGTTGAGTGACCTTGACCTTCTTCACAACCTTGAACAGCCGAGGGATGATCGCAAGAAGTGTCTGTCGAAACTGAATGTACCATCGAAGCATATCGGTGAACAACTTCTTGTCAGCTTCACTGTTCTGATTACACCTGTGTATGATCTCCAAAATGTGCTCCAAGCAAGCAGTTGAGAACAGGTGTTTGTCAATCAGAGCGAACAGACACTTTTGACCTTCGCCCCTAATGAACATCACAGTATGAAACTTGGGATCGATTTTGCCCTTGACCATCGCATTCACATTGTCAGTCCTTCCCAATCGGCTTTATCGTTGTTCGCTTGTGAATGGCAGATGCGATTTCTTGATCCATCTTTGCTACTTCGTGAATGGAACAAACAAGCATTCGCTTGACGTGATCAATGATCAGTTGATACTCCTGAGGATTAGTCATCAAAATATTGTTGAGGAGTATCCAGTCGTGCGGGTTCAAGTTTGGTAGATCAGCCAGGGAAATAGTATGGACCGAGCTATCCGAGCCTCTGGTCACTTTGAATTTAACATTAACGAATTGCCCTGCCGAAGAGGGCTTCAATACCTTGACCATAGTGATCTTCTGTGTGCTCCAGGTCAAGTATTGTGGCTGAGCGAACTCAATATAAAATTCCAATAAATTCCGATCTACCTTCGGGTCTGGAGAGGGAACGACAGCCGTTGAGTCAAAGCAATGGAAGATAAATGCCTTTCGGGTGATTGGCATATCGAATTGTGCATCCTTCGAATTCTCAAGACCGAACGACATAACAGGTTCAAGCCAGTGAGTGTTCGGTTCATCAATGACTTCCCTCTGGAGTGATTCAATAGTCCATTCCGGAAACATGGACTTCTTTTTCTCTAGGAGTTCATTTTCTTTCAACTCCTTCTCGAGAAGTTCTTTTTCTTTCTGAAGCTTCTCCTGAAGTTCTTTATCAGTAGGCTTAATTTTCTGATCAAGTTTAGAAGGATTCCCTTCCATGATGTCTTCAATATCATCATCATCATCTTCATCGTCTTCTCCAATCTTCTTCTTTTTCTCTTTTCCCTCTTACTGACCGAAGCTACATTATCCTTCGGTTCAGCAGTAGCTTTTGGTTTTGGAGGGGGTTGTGATTGAGCCTTGCCAGCCTTGCCTTGTGTAACCTTTTCTTCCCCTTGTTTCGGATGAATACTAGTCTCCGGAACACCTTCAATCCTACTTAAGATATCCAAAGCAGGTCGTAGCTTCTCAGCTAAGTGGCGTCGTATGGAGATAGTCAAAATGGAGTCATGGGCTTCAAGAAGATGCAACAAAATGGAATTGACATCACCCACTGAGCTTCGAATCACCTCTCGCTCAGATTTCAAATTGTCAACTTCTTTGGTTGCGGTTCGGAGCTTTAAATTCTGAATTTTAAGCTGGGAAGTTCGCTTGTCCAGCTCATCCATTTATTTTGTTTTCGACTGCCAACTCGGCCTCAAGCTGAGTTAAACGATCATCAACTTTAGTATGAAGCTCTTCGTTAGCAGCTTCAATAGCTTTTTGAGCCACTTCAAGATTTTTCTTCTCTGCCTCCAGTGAACGCGTGAGATTGTCAACAGATGCGTTCACAGTTTGGGCGTTTTTCTGAGCTGCCGCCTGTAAGGAATCTAAAAATAGTCAAGCTTCAGAAATTAGTTTTTCGACTTTTACGGTCGCTTCCTTGCAGTCTTTGGTTGATGCTTCAACAGCAAGCGAAGTCTGCTAGCATTGTGAGGTGGAAGCATCAATAGCCTTTGCAGCATTGGAGATTGAGGTAGCATGTTCTTGTACAACGGAAGAGAACAAGGATTTAAGGGCTGCCTCAGAATATGCACCAGCAGAGGACGAGGACAGTAACTGATCAATTTTGTCAGTCACAACCTTGAGGTGCCGTTTGGTAAGTGGGACGTCTTCATCATCATCGCTTTGGACACGGTAAGGACTGAAATAAGTGGAATCAAACTCCAAGTCCTCACCGCCAAGAACATGTTCAGGTGATGGAGGTGGGGTTAAAGGAGTTGAGGTAACGGGTGGAGTAGGACCGACAGTAAATGCCCCCGTATCAGATACGTTGACATGAACAGTGGGTTCGGGTGTGGTAGTGGTTGTGGTAGTAGTTTTTGTAGAGAACAGTGGTGGTGGTATAGGGATGGTTGAAGCGATTGTAGATGTTATAGGTTGAGGACAAGGTGCAATGGTGATAGGAACCGAAAGTGGAACAGAGCGAGGGGGCGAGGGTCGGTTGCTATTATCGGTTGGTGAGGGTGGAGGCGAATTACCTCTTGATAGACTATCGGTTTCGGTTGCTTCATCATCAGTTGATTCCAGCTCAACATCTCTTGGATCTGGTTCCCCATCAGATGGAAAATATTCAGAATCGCTTGTTGAAGGAGAAGGAGACTTCGGTCGTCTAGCTTGCTTTTTAACCCTTCGCTTCTTGGGAGCAGAAGGCTCGACGTTCGTTGCCTTTCGCTTCTTAGGGGTGGAAACCTTTGAGGATTGACCCACTTTTTCTCCTTTGATGTCAACCTTTTTCCCTCTTTTGGTTGGCTTGTCCGCTGCATCCAATGAACTCTGCATCTCAGGAGTCAGTGGGCGTGGACCGGAAGGAGTCAACTTCCTGTAATCAGCCATGATCTTGCTCGCATTGGAGACACATCGGTACATCGATTCTGGAATGGAACCGATGAAGATGTACTTTGTGGGATCAGACACAATAATCTTTACTGTGTGAAAAGTTGCGATAGAGGACCTCAAAGCACCTTCCATAACGGGAATTTGAAAGGTCTGAATTGCTCTGTGTGTAATCAACGTCCAAAAGCGTCCACAAGAGATCTCAGAATGCTTCGTTGAGGAGTTGAGACTCTGCACCAGTTGTGCCCATAAAAGTGACCCATAATCAAGATTGATCACATTGTAGATACCATAGAGAATGGTCAGGAACCCCTTGCTTGCCCCATCTGACCCTGCAACACGTTCTGCTAAACCCTTGTAGAGAAGGGTAAGCAAACCATTCCACTGTGGTGGCAGACATGACTTCTTAAACTTCGTTACCGTCGTCAGAATGTCGGTGTAGCCCATATCATAAAGCATCTGAAACAACTGAGTCGTTATGATAAAATCCGGAGAGATGACAGAGGCGTCTGCAGAAAGCCCTAGTAATGAAGCAAATCGAGCTTTTGAAACAGATGTCTTTTGGTTGAAGATGTCGAAGAATGTGTGTTCCTTGCGCTTGTCATAGGAAGTTGTGAAGTACACCTGGGAGAGAAGCGACATCGGAACGGATTCAACCTGAGTAAGGGCAATCACCAGCGGAGAATACTTCAGGCACTCGACAACATGGAGCATGTACGAGTCGTAGAGGAAAGGATCCAGTTGAATAATAAGGTTCTGATTAGGCTTGATCGTGAGCAATGATGATGACACA